ACTGTGTGTGGATGACACTGTGTTGATAACACTGTGTGTATATGACACTGTGTGTGGATGACACTGTGTTGATAACACTGTGTGTAGATGACACTGTGTGTAGATGACACTGTGTTGATAACACTGTGTGTAGATGACACTGTGTTGATAACACTGTGTGTAGATGACACCGTGTAGATAACACTGATAGTAGATAAGATGACACTGTGAGTAGATAACACTGATAGATTACACTGTTAGTTGATAAGACTGATAGATAAGATGACACTGAGTTGATAACACTGACGGTAGATGACAAGATAAGATGATAAGATGAAAGTTCATGAAACATTACCATCCATCTTATAATAATAATAATAATAATAATAATAATAATAATAATAATAATAATAATAATAAATTAATTCTACAAGTACATGATACAAGTTATGTAGACCATAGATGACATCAGTGACACACTGTATATAAACCTCCTGGTTATGCAGAGTATTTCTGGAAAATTAGGTCAGTTTTGTCCCCCAGGATGCAACCCACGCCAGTCGGCTAACACCCAGGTACCTGCTTACTGCTAGGTGAACAGGGGCAACTGGTACAGGAGATAAGGTAGTTCCCTGAGGTACTCCACACTAGTACCCATACTGACACCTCTCTTCACTACTACTACTACTACTGCTACTACTTGTGACCTATTAGTAAGGTAGTCACTGATCCATGCCTCTAGTTTGTCTACCATGTGGCTAGTTTGTCTATCATGTGGCTAGTTTGTCTACCATGTGGCTAGTTTGTCTATCATGTGGCTAGTTTGTCTACCATGTGGCTAGTTTGTCTATCATGTGGCTAGTTTGTCTACCATGTGGCTAGTTTGTCTATCATGTGGCTAGTTTGTCTACCATGTGGCTAGTTTGTCTATCATGTGGCTAGTTTGTCTACCATGTGGCTAGTTTGTCTACCATGTGGCTAGTTTGTCTATCATGTGGCTAGTTTAACTAGTAATTTTCGATGTGGTACCTTGTCCAAACTGGTGTATTAGGTTTAAAATCTATCCACTGGATCTAGATCATAATGGCCGCCATTCACTTGTCAAGAGTAATTCCTTAATGAGGTTCAAAGTAAACTCTCAGTGCATATACATAGAGATATATACCTCTCGTTGTATATGCACGGGGATATATTAATGCAACCACGAAACAAGTGGTATTGATGCAATTAACAAACTGCGGCATGGCAGGGGATCGAACCCGCACTACCTTGGCCCGCCTCGTGGGAAGCAGGTCAAAATTCACGTCAAACGGGAGTAGAATGAAAATTAGCTGTGAGCTTACCACCGCCAGGTATATCCTCGCATCATGAAGCAAGCCTAGTTCGCTGGGTTCATAATGTTTGTAGGATTGTATGGTCCAGTGGTTAGAGCGTCGTGAATTTTGACCTGCTTCCCACGGGGTAGGCCAAGGTATCACGGGCTAGATCCCCGGTCGCATGGCCGAGAATCGAACCCGTAGTTTGTAATTACGCTGGGATATAAGCACCTCGTTGTACACACGCTTATACACCTCTCGGCGTATATGCTCCTGGTCCAGTGTATTCTGGAACTTGTTTCGTTGTTCCTGTCACTAAATGTATCTGGAACAACATTACTGCTGGCTTGTTGTCTGTGTCTAAGAGTTAAAGGTGGTTCAGACCTGGCAATGAGAGGTACACGACTGACCGTAACGTCGCTTACAACTGTCTCTCCGAAATGTGGGTTAGATGTTAGTTGTTCCAGCTACGGTGTTGTGGGCTAGTTGAGTTGTTCCAGCTACGGTGTTGTGGGTTAGTTATGAATTATTCCAGCCACTGTGTTGTGGGTTAGATGCGAGTTGTTCCTTCCACGGTGTTGTGGGTTAGTTGTGAGTTGTTCCAGCCACGGTGTTGTGGGTTATGAATTGTTCCAGTCACGGTGTTCACTTATTTCCTTCCATCAATATATCACTTGTAATCTCGGTGTTTATTGCTTGTGTTTGAGTGGGATGTTTTGGATCACATGTTTCTAGGGTTCTTCAAGCACCTGACATGAGTGTATCAGGTCAGAGACCGAGGTCATACCACCAGTGTACCGTGACCGTGTGCTGTGTTCACTCTGATGCCGCACTGCTTGCGAAATAGCTAAGTGGTTGCCTAATACTGCCTGCTAGTTGATGATTGGGTTGTTGAAGTCACTAGCTATTACTGCCTCGTTAGTATTAATTGATGATTTGATGTCGTCACGGAGGAAAGCGTGGACGGAACACTCTCTAGTGACTTTCAACATGCGAACGATCGTTTGTTTTATTTCTGGTCTTGTCGTATATAAGAAGCGGCATGCGTAATGCAACACGCTTTTATCGGGAGAACGTTTCGCCCTGTGTTGAGTTTTACACAGTCATGAAGCCCTAAAAGAGTGAAATGTTGTCTTAGTAAATAGTTGTTTTTACAACTTTTGTAAAACACTTAGAGCCCAGTAAAGAAAGTTAACACTTTCAAGACTCGTATGCTGAGATAATGACTGATAATATATAAATACTGAGAATAACGTGTGCAACATACTAACAACGTGTGCAACATACTAACAACGTGTGCAACATACTAACAACGTGTGCAACATACTAACAACACAGTCAATACTTCAACAAGCAATGAGCAGTGTGCAACATCAGAGGAAATGTACCCTCTTAAAATTAACAGGAAATGAAAGGGAAAGGTAGAGAGGCCAAGGTTCAGTACACTGGTGTGCATGATACTCTCATGTCACTCTCATGTCACTCTCATGTCACTCTCATGTCACTCTCATGTCACTCTCATGTCACTCACATCAGTGAGGTGTGTCAGAAGTCTGGGTATGGAACATAGTGTCACCTGGACATAAGACTCGCCACAAACGGTAATAATGAGAGAGAAACAGCAAAAGAAAATTTATTGAGAATTTATTGAAATAAATGACGTGTATTTTTTTTGTCGGGTTTATTTTATGATGTAGAGGCTGGTGTGAGAGCGGGACCAGGAGCTTGTTACGACGGTGTCTTAACTAGTGCCGAGCACTCATTAATAACAAGTGCTTGGCACCATCATTACTGTTAGTTGTATGTTAGGTTAACTTGTGTATCCCTCCCTGAGATCCTCATGACCACTCCACGACACTCATGACCACTCCACGACACTCATGACCACTCCACGACACTCATGACCACTCCACGACACTCATGACCACTCCACGACACTCATGACCACTCCACGACACTCAAGACCACTCCACGACACTCATGACCACTCCACGACACTCATGACCACTCCACGACACTCATGACCACTCCACGACACTCATGACCACTCCACGACACTCAAGACCACTCCACGACACTCAAGACCACTCCACGACACTCATGACCACTCCACGACACTCAAGACCACTCAACAACGCTCATGTCTAGAATTAGGAAAGCTTTGCTTTCCCAATTCTAGACATTTTTTTTTTATCGTAAACTAAGGTGTAATATGTGTTAAATTAATTGCTTATGTCAGACATGTCGTAGTTGTTCGTGTGTTAAACCAACGTCAGCAATACTGCTGCGTTGTTCGTGTGTTAAACCAACGTCAGCAATACTGCTGCGTTGTTCGTGTGTTAAACCAACGTCAACAATACTGCTGCGTTGATGTGAACGTCAGATACATTGTGAAGTCTGGTTTTTATCGTTCACTCACATTACTGTCACTTATACATTGTATTTTTATTCATAAAAATACCCATCACAGTTTTGTATCATCATTTTCAGATGCCACCAAAATAAGCATGAAAGTTACTACGGTAGAACACTGAAAAATTACAGGAAGATATAAGTGTTTTCCAGTGGGCAGTGGAAAACATGACATTCAGTGGTGATAAGTTCCAACTGTTTAGGTATGGAAAAAACAAAGCACTCAAATGGAACACTGTTTACAGAACTCAAGAGGATCATCAAATAGACCGAGAGGAACACGTGAAAGATTTGTTAATAATTATGTCAGCTGACCTTTTTTCAAAGAACATAATAAGACAAAAATCACGAGAGCCAGGAAGATGACGGGGTGGGTACTGAGAAGTTTCGAAACAAGGGAAATAATGCCAAGGGTGACACTCTTCAACTCGCTAGTGTTGACGGCCACGTTCAAGTCAGAAGAAATATCAGAGCTGGAACAAATACTTTACTGTTTTACTGGCATAGAAACAGTGAAGCATTTAAACTGCTGGGAACGCCTTAGTCTTGAACATGTACTCACTGGAGATGAGGAGAAAGAGATACATGATAATATATACCTGGAAGGTACTCGAGGGCCTGATCCCAAATCTGCACACTGCCATAACAACATACTGGAGTGAGAGATATGGGAGGAAGTGTAAACTAAACCTAGTGAGTAGTAGAGGTGCGGTGGGGACAATAAGGGAAAACAGTAACAATATTCGTGGCCCCAGATTAGTCAACATCTTATCAGAAACACTGCTGGAACAAATGTAGACGTTTTCAAGAGAAAACTGGATAGGTATCTTAACCAGGTGCCAGATCAACCAGGCTATGATCGATATGTGGGGCAGCGGGCCTCCAGCAGCAGCAGCCTGACTGTCCAGGCTAGCACCAAACGAGCCTGGCTCATGGCCGGGCTGCAGGAGTAGAAAGACTCTCGTAACTCATCAAAGGTACATCAAAGGTATCACCCATAACGTGGGTGTGATTGGAAGGTCCATAACCCTCTACCTCCTACAATCTCCCACCTACCACCTACAGTCTAACCCCCTTACCTTTTTTTTTTACCATTCCAGAGGTATCTCTGTTGGACCACATGTTGCAAGTGTCACCAGCAGTGTGACACAGCTCTGGTAGTGTCTCATGGTGAGTGTCTCATGTACGTGTGCCTGGTTATGTGTGAGTGTCTCATGTACGTGTGAATGGTTATTTGTGAGTCTCGTGGTGACGTGTGTATATATACTAAGGAGTGTTTATCTCTCTCCACAGACTGGGCGTTGAACGGGGATCACTGCTACAGATTCTTCAATATTAAACACTCCTGGGAAAAAGCTGATGCTCTGTGCAAGAGGTAAGTAAGCCCAAACTGTCCTTCCTTCCTTCCTTCCTTCCTTCCTTCCTTCCTTCCTTCCTTCCTTCCTTCCTTCACATCCTACTCCTAAGTCAAGACATCGTTTCTCCATTAATATTTCTTGGTAGACTAATCTCAAAAACTGAATTTCGATGATGTCCATTTGTTGGTTGTTTTGAGAGTGTCATCGTCAGTTGCTGTGACTGAGATACACTCAACCCTTCATTAACGATGGTCTTATTGTAGGCAACATGAATTACCGCTACATGTCGCTCTCTAGAGACAGAAGGACCTGGAAATCAATTGTATAAAATACCGACACAATGGAAAAATAAACACATAAGCTGTATAATGTGATCCTTTACTGACAACGTTTCGCCCACACAGTGGGCTTTATCAAGTCACAAACAGATCTGTATTACACTATACTGCTTAAACGTTTATTTTTCCAAAGAAGGAATTACAGTGAGCAGCTGATCGACACTTGAGTCAGAACATGAGGAAGAGACTCCGAATTATTTAAATGTAAAGGACATAACACATGAACTCAAATTAAGTTATAATAAACAACTGTCAGTGGATAAAGAGAAGGGTTGATCGGGGGCGCCAACCGCGGCTCTTAAATTGTCAGTCAATTTACGAGCTGCGGTTCTGTTTATCCAACGTAACCAGAGGCGGACTGGCCATACGGGCATTTGGGCAATGCCCGGTGGGTCGCTGGGCTAGGTGTAAAAATGTCACCGAAGTCATAGCCGCTGCACAAAGACTGAAACGAAAATTGAAAGCGTCTTGGCTGAGCAGTGATAACACGTCTCTGCCCCCAATTTTTTAAGTTTTAATTTTTTTTTTTTTCCCCCTTTTTTTTTTTTTTAAAAAATTTTTTTTAAAAAAAAAAAATTTTTTTTTTTTTGGGGGGGAAAAAAAAAAAAATTTAAAGGGAAAAAAAAAAAGGGGGGGGTTTTTTTTTTTTTTTTTTCCCCCTTTTAAAAAAAAAGGGAAAAAAAAATTTTTTAAAAAAAAGGGCCCAAAAAAAAACTTAAAAAAAAAAAACCCCCAAAAAAAAAAAGGGGGGGGAAAAAAAAAAGGGGGCGGGGGGGAAAAAACCAAAAAAAAACCCCCTTTTTCCCCCCTTTGGGGGGGTTTTTTGGGAAAAAATTCGGTTTTAAAAAAAATTTTTTTTAAAAAAAAGCCCTTTTTCTTTTTTTGGGAAAAAGGGGGGGAGGAAAAGGGGAAAAAAAAGGGGGGGGGGGAAAACCCAAACCCCCAAAACAAACCGGGGGGAAGGGGGGGGAAAAAATTTTTTAAAAAAAAAGGGGGGGGAAAAAAAGGGGGGGCCCCAAAAAAGGGGGGGGGGGGGAAAAAAATTTTTTTTAAAAAAAAATTTTTTAAAAAAGGGGGGAAATTTTTTTAAATTTTCCCCCCCGGAGGCCCTTTTGGGGGGGCCCCCGGGGGAGGGCCCCCGGGGGGGGCCCAAAAATTTTCAAGGGGGGGGGAGGAATTTTAAACCCCCTTTTCCCGGGGAAAAAAATTTTTTAAAGGGGGGGAAATTAAAACCCGCCCCCAAAAACCCCCCCCAAAAAAAAATTTTTTTAAAAAATTTTTTTGGGGTTTTTTTTGGGGAAAAGGGGGTTTTCCCCCCCAATTTTAAATTTTTTTTTTGGGGTTTTTGTGTGGTTTTTTGGGGGGTGGGGGTTTTTTTTTTTTTTAAAAAAAAATTTTTTTCCCCCCAAAAAAGGGGTTTCCCCAAAATTTTCCCAAATTTAAAGGGGGAAAAAAATTTTTTCCGGGGGGGGAAAAAAAAAAAAATTTTTTTTCCCCTTTCCCGGGGGGCCCCCCCTTTTTCCCCCCTTTTTTTTTTTCCTTTCCCCTTTTTTTTATATTTTTAAAACCCCTTTTTTAAAAATTTCCGGGGGTTTTTTTTTTAAAATTTTTTTTTAAAAAAAAATTTTTTTAAAAGGGGGTTTTTTTAAAAAAAAAAGAAAAATTTTTCCAAAAAAAAAAAAAAAAGGGCCCTTTTAAAATTTTTAAAAAAAGGGGGAAAAAGGTTTTTTAAAAAGGGGCCGGCCCCAAAAGGGGTTTTAAAAAAAAAAAACCCCGGGTTTTTTAAAAAAAAAAAGGGGGGGGGCCCCTTTTTTTTTTGGGAAAAAAAAACCCCAAAAAAAATTTTTTAAAAAAAGGGGGTTTTTTTAAAAAAAAATTAAAATTTTCCCCCCCCCAAAAAAAAGGGGGCCCCCCCCCTTTTTTTTTTTTTCCAATTTTAAGGGCCTTTGGGCCCCCTTTTCCCCCCCCCATTTTTTTTTTGGGGGGTTTTCCCCCCAAAAGGGGTTTTTTAAAAAAAAAAATTTTGGGGTTTTGGGGGGGGGAAAAAAAAAGGGTTTGGGGGGGCCCCCCCCCCCCCCTTTTTTTTCCCCTTTTTAAAAAAACAAAGGGGTTAAAAAATAAAATTTTAAAAAAGGGAAAAAATTTTTTCCCCCCCCCCCCCTTTTTTTTTCCCTTTTTTCCCCCCTTTTTTAAAGGGGGGGGTTTAAAAATTTTTTGGGCTAAAAAAAAACCCGAAGGGGGGGGGGCCCCCCAATTTTTAAGGTTTGGGTTTTTTTGGGGGGGGGGGGCCCCAAACCTTTTTAAAAAAAGGGGGGTTTTTTTTTAAAAAAAAAAATTTTTTTCCCCCCAAAAAAAGGGTTTTTTTTTTTTTTTAAAAAAAAAAAAATTTTTTTTTTTTTTTTTGGGGGCCCCTTTTCCCCCCCCCGGGGGGGGTTTAAAAACCCCCCCCCCCTTTTTAAAAAATTTTTTAAATTTTTTTTTTCCCCAAAAAAAATTTTTTTCCCCCCTTTTTTTTGCCCAAAAAAAAAATTTTTGAAAAAAATTTAAATTTTCCCCAAAATTTAAAAAATTTTTTTTTTTTAAAAGGGGGGAGGGTTTTTTTTTAAAAAATTTTATTGGGGGGGGGCCCCCCCTTTTTTAAACCCAAAAAAAAACCTTTTAAAAAAAAAGGGGGGGGGCCCCCAAAAAATTTGGGGGAAAAGGGGGTTTTTAAATTTTTTTTAAAAATTAAAAAAAGGGGGGCCCCCCCCCCCTTTTTGGGGGGGGAAAGGGTTTCCGGGGTTAAAAATTTTTTTCCCCCCCCAAAAAAAACCCCCGGGGGTTTTTTTTCCCCCCCCCCTTTTTTAAACCCCCTTTTGGGGAAAAAAAAATTTAAAAGGGGGTTTAAAGGGAACCCCCCCCAAAAAAAAAAAAAATTTTTTTTTTTTTTTTTTTTTTTTTTTTAAAGGGGGATGGAGGGGGCCCTTTTTAAAAGGGGGGGGGGGGTTTAAATGTTTGGGGGGGTTTAAGGGGGTTTTTTGGAAAGGGGGGGGGGGGAAAAAAAAGGGGGGGGTTTTTTTTAAAAAAAAAAATTTTAAATTTTTTTAAAAAGGGGTTTTGGGGGGTTTTGGGGGGGGTTGGGGGAAAAAAACCCAAAAAAGCAAAGGGGGGAAAAATTGGGGGGTTTAAAAGGGGGTTTTCCCCCCCCTTTGGGGAAAAACCCGGGGTTTTTTTTTTTTTTGGGGAAAAAATTTTTTGGTTAAATTTTTTTTTTTTGGGGGGGTTTTTTTTTTTTTTTTGGGGGGGGAAAAAAAAATTTTTGGGGGGGTTTTTGGTTTAGTTTTTTTTTTCAAGGGGAATTTTTCCCCTTTTTTTTGGGGGGATTTTTTTTGGGGGTTTTTAAAAACCCCCTTTTTTTTTTTTTTTTTTTTTTGGGTTTTGGGGAAAAAAAGGGGGGGGGGGTTTTTTCCCCCAAATGTTTTTCCTGGGGTTTTAAAATTGGGGGTTTTAAAAGGGGGTTTTTCCCCCGGGTTTTTTAAATTTTTTTCCCCCGGGGTTTTTTAAAATTTTTTTTAAATTTTTTGGGGGGAAAGGGGGCCCCCTTTTTTTTTTTACCCCTTTTTTTTTTTTTTGGGGGGGGGGGGGGGTTTTTTGGGGGGGGAAAGGTTTTTTTTTCCAAAAAGGCCCCCCTTTTAAAGGGGGGAAAAAACCCCCGGGTTTTTTTTGGGCCCAAACCCGGGGGGAAAAGGGGGGGGGGGGCCCCGGGGTTTTTTTTAAAGTTTTTTTTGGGGTTTTTGTTTTAAAAAAAAAAACCCGGTTTTTGGGGGGGGAAAAAAAAAATTTTTTTTTTTTAAAAAAAAAAAAAGGTTTTTTCCTCCCAAAAAAGGGGGGGGGGAAAAAAAAAAAAGGGCCCGGGAAAAAGGGGGGGGGTTTTTTTCCCCCCCCTTTTTTTTCCCCTTTTTTTTTTTTTTTTGTTGGGGGCCCCCCAAAAAATTTTTTTTTTTGGGGGTTTAAAAAAATTAAAAAACCCAAATTTTTTTGGTTTTTTAAAAAAAAAAAATTTAAAAATTTTAAAAATTTTTCCCCCCTTTTTTTTTTCCCCCCAAAAAAAAAAAATTTAAAAAAAAAAAAAATTTTTGATTAAAAAAAAATTTTTTGGGGGGGTTTTTAAAAAAAATCTAGTGGTTAAAAGGGGGGGGAAAAAAAAAAAAAAAAATTTTAAAAAAACTTAAAAAAATTTTTTAAAAAAGGGGGAAATTTTTTTTAAAAAAAATTTTTTTTTTAAAAATTTTGGGGGGGTTTTAAAAATTTTTAAAAAGGGGGGGGGGTTTGGGGGTTTTGGGGGGGGTTTTGGGGGGGTTTTTGGGGGGGGGGGGATTTTTGTTTTAAAGGGGGGCCCCCTTTTTTTTTTGGGGAAATTTTTTTTGGGGGGAAAAAAAACATTTTTTTTAAAAAAATTTTTTTTTTTAAAAAAGAAAAGGTTTTTTTTGGGGGGGGAAGGGTTTTTGGGGAAAATTTTTGGGGTTTTTTTAAATTAAAGTAAGGGTTTTAAACCCCAAAAAAAAATTTTTTTTTGGGGGGGGGGGGGGGGTTTTTGGGGGGGGGGGAAAAAGTTTTGGGGGTTTTTTTTGGGGGGGGGTTTTTTTTTTTTGGGGGGGGTTTTATGGGGTTTTTTAAAAAAGGGGGGGGTTTTTAAAGGC